GACAGACGATTATGGGAGGTTTGTTAATAATTCATTGATGTTGAGAATATCAACGTCACATACAATACATTGACGTCGAGAATATAGAAGGCAGACAGACGATTAAGTGATAAAGATATAAATAGCATGAGACGAGTGGGAATAGCAGACAGATAATAGCAAAAGAGGATAAAGTTGGCATGAAGTAAAGTACCGTAGAAGTGATGGGCCAAACGATTGACATAAGTGTAAGATATGAAAAATAATTTTATTCTGTCAAAGCATGGTCCTAAAGTAATTGAATCAGCCTGAGTGCACTTTGACAAAAGGGACAGAGGATCTTCAAAAGAAAGAAGACCAAACAATTATGGTAACCTCCCAAAATTGTAAGTGAATCACAGATAATACTAGTGTGATAAAAATAGAGAAGATAGTCTGGCTTGTCAACTTAAATTCTAAAGTAATTGAATAAGCCTAAGTGGATATTTGACAAGAAGGAGAGAACTACATATATAGCGTTGAAGAATTTATTGTATGTATGTTAATTTGTTCTGAATATATATATATTATTTTGAAAACAAGTGAAGTGCGTGCTATTTATTCATCATTGAATTTATTGCTAAAAAGTCACAGATATCTACTGTAGAAGAATCCTAAGCCCAACAACATCTTAGTAAGTATTTATACTGTTAAGAAATATAACTAAAAGCCTTTCTATTTGACAATTGTCAAAAAGGAAAGTTATACATTTTATTTTAAATCCTGACAGTGATCATTAGCTGGATGAAGTGATACATTCACTTCCATCCCTGCCTTGTTTGGTTCCTTTTTTCAAGCTCATTAGCCAGCTCTGCATAGTTTTTTATTTGGTGATAAATACTTTTGTTAGGTTCACAAAAGTGTGGGTAAAAAAACATGATTTATTAATGTTGTTACCCTCCTTAGTTGTAGAAGGGTTAAAAGAAGAATGGCATACTTGTGTAATGGGCTGTTTTGTTTTGAATAACAAACCATTTACAAGTAGTATTTATTTAAAATACCAGGAATATCAATCATTAAAAATCACATATGTTGCCAACTCAAGGAAGTTTATGTGAGAAAGAAGGAGACAGACAGGATTCACAAAAACAAAACATATTTAATATAGCTTTGAAAGACATTCCGTATTACAGATTGATACATAAAATTTATAAACTTGATATTTGAAATGACATTACTTACTTTCAGTAGAACTGAGCTTTGGTCTATGATGGACGGATGCTGCTTACTGTGAGTGATGTTGGATTGGCACTGTTGAGTGTGATTTTTAACAAGTTACTGTTGCTCAAAACTAGATAATTTTGGTTTTCGACACTTCTTAATATAGTAGGAATTTTTGAGAATCTTTTATAAATAGATGAAGGAATGGTCAATAATTACTGAAATTTGCTTATGATATTAATGTCTTGGGTTTTGATAGCTGCAAAGAGGATGCTGCTGCTTTACAAAAGGATTTAGATCTTTTAGTGAGTTGGGCAAATAAATGGCAGCTGGCTTTTAATTATAATAGATGCTAGATAATGCATGTGGGTTATAGTTTGGAAGGTAATTGCCCTTAAAAGTGTCATGAAAGAAAGGGCTCTTTATGTAATGGTTGATCAGTCTCTAAAGCCATCCAAAGAGTGAGCTGTTTATAGTGGTAGGGCAAATAGGATTTTAGGTTGTATATACAGAAATACCGAATAAATGTCTAAAGAGGTTATAATTTCATTGTACAAGTCATTGGTTAGGCCACATTTGGAGTATTGTGTTCAGTCTTGGGCTCCTTACCTTATAAAGAACATTGAATTGTTGTAAAGGGTTCAGAGGAGGGCTACTAGGATGATACCTGGGATGGAAAGGTTGTCATACGGGGAGAGGTGAAGATCTCTGAAATTGTTTTCTCATGAAGAAAAAAAGAGTTGAAGGGGATCTGATTAAGGTCTTTAAGATTGTAAATGGAATTGACAGTGCTGATGCATCATCTTTTTTTGTACTTAATGGTCAGAATAGTAGGACTAGGGAACACAAATGTAAATTTTAGGAAGGTAGGATTCATCTTCAGTTAAGACAGTTTTATTTTTCTAACAGGGTGGTTGGCCTCCGGAATGGGTTACCTTTGGATGTTGTGGAGGCAGTAAATTTAAGGGAGTTTAAAAGAAGGTTTGATAGCTATATGAATGATAAGGTCTGGCTTTAAGATTTTTTATTTATTTAATTGTTTTAGTTGAGTTTAGAGGATGTGACAGCTAAGATGGACTAATAGGTCCCTTGTTGTCCCTAAACATTATGGTATGTTAAGATTTCATAACAGTTGTTATGTGGACAGTATCCTTGATCACTTGCTGTTCATTTAACCAATCAGCACCTTAACAACTATTATCTCAGTATTTGTCTTCTTTTTTATAATACACTTTCTCAGTGATTTCTTTGGTGGTAGGACTTTTGCTGTATGACTTAAGGTTAAAATGCTGACTACTTTTCAACTTAATAGTGAACTCTGATATGGCATTGGCTATGGTAAATGAACTTTTAATGTTGATTTGAAAGCACTTTTCCAGCTCTCTGCTAACAAAAAAGTTAATGTTTTAAAGTTTTCTTTAAAAACATTATCAGATATAAGCTTTTCCAAACCAAGCTATTCTGTATGTGAATGTCTCTTTAGCTTGTTAATCTTTTCATTGACTCTACTTCTCTGAAATACAAGGATACTCTCAATGTAATTTAATGTAAGATCAGTGTGGATTTAGAGGAAAACCTAAACTGTTTACAAAAATGTTCGTAATAAGCTCTTTATCAACGTTACACAATGTCAGTACTCAAGATTATATAATTGGTAAGGACATCTAATTAATTGTATGACTTTAAATTAATTACAGTAAATTCCACTTTAACAGTCTATATCAATATACAAATTTTATTGTCTGTAGATCCAAGTTCTATCCGTGATGGCTAAACTCTCAACTTAGTTAACTTAGTATGAAGTATCATCTATCAGTTGTGCAATTTTATTTCTCTTTTTAATGTTAAATTTTTCCAAAATTAAACAGTATTATGTGCATGTTCTTTCTGTACTCATTTTTGATAATTTGTCTTTGAGGCTATTTTTCTGTAATATCCGTAAAGCAAATATATCTGTTTTATAGTTTTCTAACTTGGTGGTATTTGCACTATACAAGTCATACCCTACAGGATTATGTGACTATCAGGTCAGTGCCTGTGCTGTCTTACTCAACTTGGAAAATATTAAAGTAATTTTATCAAACAAAACTTTTAGAAGACAATATATGAAATGCACCAATTCTTAACCATGTATAATAGTGAACTCTGATATGGCATTGGCTATGGTAAATGAACCTTTAATGTTGATTTGAAAGCACTTTTCCAGCTCTCTGCTAACAAAAAAGTTAATGTTTTAAAGTTTTCTTTAAAAACATTATCAGATATAAGTTCTTTGTTCTACTTTATATATCAAGGAAGTAATAATAAATAAATTGTTTTGCTTAAACCACAAACCAAGCTCTACTTTACATAACAACAAAATATAAGTATTTATTAATTCTTCATTGAAATTGTCCAAATCAGATTTATAATCATTTTGCAAAAGAAATGAAATGGTAACCTGATTATATTATACATTTGTGCAAATTCTTCATACAAGTTCTGTATGTACATTTGAAACATGTTTTTAGTTCTCATTATGCATATCCTCCTTTCTTTACTTTTACTTCTCTCATGAATATTTTAATTACACAGCCACTCTACTTTATATAATGAATAATGTGAAAAACAATGTATGCATTGTCTTCCATGAAAAGGACATGATACTTGTATTTTAACAGGTACTTGTAACTGGGGCAATCTACTACTCCCAACTCAAAAGAAGGCAAGTCGGTCACACTTGAAGTACTCTTTTTTTCTCTCCCAGTTTTTCACTAATATTACTTAATATTTCATCAGAAAATTGTCCCAGATATTTGTATTAGATCAAACTCTGTAAAACTATTTTCCTATTCTAAATGATGCAGAAACCTTGTCACCCTTTCAGCTTTCTGATGTTTTTTTCTGCCATCCCCATTGTGGGTAAGGTGATTTAAGAAAGCCTGTTCACATTTTATCCATTTTCAGATATTTGACAGTTAACTTCTTATTGATGTAATTAACAGTTACTTGGAGCTCTTCCCAGTTCTATCATCTGCAAAAGTCACCAGGCTTCATTTGTCAGAATACGGTTGACTCTTCATTTACTATGACATATTGTAGTTAACTTAGTTTCCAGTTTTCTCCCTAACATCACATTTAAGAATATTCAATACATTCACATTTGTTTGATGTTGGGTTTGTGATATACACTTGTTATCGTATGTTGCCACCATATTGGCTACCTTATTTTAGAAAGAGTTAAGCTGCAAAACAATCATTAGTTGATCTGCCTACGAAGAAGAAAATGGATTCATAGAAATGGTTTCGATGGCATTTTCTGTTAAAAGCAAGCACCCATCATAGATCAATTCTGTTTAAGATGGCATTTAGGATGAGGACAGATGACACTCTGGAATTTAATCTCTAAGGTAATTGTGGGTGATTATACAGATCTTCATGTTGGACGGGAACCATTGCACTGACACTCGTAAGCACCTGTAAAATGGGTCTTGAGAGTACTTTAGAGCTCCCATCAAGTCTTTGATGAGACTTGCTGTTCACGTAATCAGTTGTTCTTTGTTTACATAGGACAAGCTCACAGATGACCTTGTGATCCTGTTGGCTAATATGACTCCAATACTTTAATTTCAATTGACCTAGATTAGCTGTGTTGCATGCACGGTAATACAGTATTATCAAATTATATTGTTGTATTATGTAGACATCTAATATGTGTAACTGAGAAATTAAATCAATGTGTTAAAGTTTAAATTACAAAATTGGTTATTAATTATTAGCAAATTTAGAACAAGAAGAAGAGCTTGAACAAATTTGATTGTAACCTAACATGTTTCAGTTTAGCCAGCAAAATGCCAGGTAAATGGAATCTCCATGGGCAAATTGGATTTTCTTCTTCAAGGGTTAATTATAATATTGTAACAAAAATTTGGAGCAAGCTTTGTGCTAAATATGTTGAAAATATTGGAAAAGAAGTGAAAGGGTGCAGTCAGCAAGAGGTGGAGAAGTATATATATATATATATATATATATATATATACTAACAACATACATACATATATGTGGCTATAGTATACTATATACTAAGTACTACTTTACCTACTCGTACTAGTTTAATAACTTAACTAAAATTAACTTAA